GGAGCTGTTTGCTCTTCTTTTCTGCTAGGAGAACTTTGGTTTAAACATGGGTGATCTAGGAGATTTGTTTTCTGCTTCACCTGAGTAAAGAGGAAAGAGTAAATGACTTGGCATTCTGATTTTTATTCTAAATAACCGCTTCAAAACCAGTATTCTATGAGTTCTAAACTACAAAGTAGTATATAAAGAAGGCTTGGAGACAGCCAAAGAAATGAAAGTCTCTGAAAAGCAGTCGTATTTTCCTAGGGATGAAGAAACTTCAGTAATACATGTGTCTAAAGCAGATCAGCAGCCCAACAGAGGGAAGAGGCGACCATAGTATCCCTCCTCTGGCCTCCTCTGGGATGTGCGCATTTCTCAGCCTGTGACTAGATGTGTAGCCATCCATTTCCACTGAAAAGTCAGCTGTCTCTTAGCATCTGCTTTCCATTGATTTTTCTTCCTCTTCCCAGAGAGTTAATTCTCTTATAAGAACCCTCTCTAAGAGCTTAAAGCCTCCCTTGACTCCTGTCGCCACCCAGAAGGCATTTCTCCTCCTCATAGTTCTTTCTGCCCCAAAGCCCCTTTGGCTTGGCGACTCCTCCCGTGGCCTTTCCGCCATGGAAAGGGTTGTCCCCTTCCTTCAACCAGCCTTCCCTGTCTTAGTTAAAAACAAGGGCGACCTGCTGGCAGTTCTTGACCCCTTGCCGCCACGTCACGGTCCCAGCGCTCAGGCTGGTGAGATCCCCAAATGTAAGCTAGGTAAGCTCAGAGTTCTGTTCTTGGCTGATCTGAGCAGTGCAGTTTGCTGCTTGGACTAATGATCTGAGCTTTATTGACACGCAGTGGAAAAGAAAGCCTCCTGTTGAGGGCAGCAATTCATTTTTCCTCTAAATTTTAAAAGGAGGAAGAGGAAGGTTTCCCACTGCACTCCTCTGGTTGCCTCTTCTTCTTTTCCTGTCTGTTTTTGAAGAAGAAACAGGACCCTTTTAGTTTTCATCCTGGAACTGTTTCCTTTTATTCCTACTTCCTGTTAGTTAAGAGGATTTGAGGGATGGAGAGGCGTGTGGTACAAGAGACCGTCTTGGGCCCCAGAAGTAGAAGAATCCTTGTCTTCTCCCACTCCCTCAGAACTATAAAGATCCTGGCGACCTGACTCATCCCCTGTTGACATGCTGAGACTGCACTGACTGAAATATGTGTTCCTTCTGGCTTATTGATTCCAATTCCGTTCATAGATGTTAGAATAGAGAAGAGCCTCCTTGGGGAGGCGGGGGGTCCTCTCAGCCTTTGTCGTCTAGCAGGGAACAGCTGCAGCGGAGACAGGTTAAAACCAGGTCTCTAGGAGCATGACTCAGCAGCTGGGTTTCATGTCCAGCCCCCGAGAGGAACCCCAGGACCTGATCATCCTCCTCCAGTATATAATGGAAGTCGGCGTTGTAGCTTCTCTTTCATCAGAGATGGGGAGGAATTTTTGGCAGGCCCCTGGCTTTGTCCTTAGCATCCAGCAGGGAGTTTCTGGACACCTGACTTAGTTTTAAGGAAGGCTCTACTGGAGATATATTTGGGGTGCCTTAAAATAAAGGCCAGAGCTTCCTTTGAGCTATCTCGAATCTTCTCTGTTGTTAGTGCTGATGGACTTCGGGTTTGCAGAGCTAGTGCCAAGCCCTAGTGTGGGAGGAGAACCCACAGATCACCAGTCACAGGGTTGGAAAGACTGATGGCTGGAACCATAAATGATCTGGGAGTAGCCAGAGCTACCCAACCATCTGTCAGCATCGGGGAACTTGCTGCCCAGGTATTTGATTATCTGTGGGGCTGATGGTGAGGAGTCTTCCCCGGTCCTTGAGATTCTTTGAGCTGTTAAACTGCATCCAGGGAAAGGAATGGAAACCCCACCTCTGGGTGGTTTTCCTCACGGAGCAGATGCACATTCCTTGAGGGTCCTTTAGTTCCAGGCCTGTGTTAAACAGGAGCACTGGATCTGATGGCCGCTCAGAACCTGTACAGCAGGGATCCTGCCTCCTCCCTGCCCTCATCCCCCCTTGTCTTTTTGCCCTCATCTCCCTCCTTCCCATCCCCACATTAGAGTGTGATAAGTAAGCAAGTGCTTATCAGGAATTCTTGAGGCTGCTGATCTTCACGTGGCATTTTCTGGCTTCCTGCCACAAAGCAGGATTTAGCCTAATACCCAAATGCTGGAGGAGATGGGCTCTAGGGAACTGCCCTTTCGACACTGTTGAAGGACTTGGGTGGGGGGGTGCCATGACCAGAGGACAGATTGATGCCCCGTGACTCCTGCAGCCAAGGAGGTTGTAAATAGCCGTGCACAGGGTCCCAGGGCCTCAGCCTTTAGTTACTGCTCTGCAGTCGCTCTGACCTTGTCACACCTAAGCTGGGTCACCCATCGTACTGGCTTCTTGAGAGTTTTGTCCCCAAAGCAGGGTCCTGTACTTGAAAGCAAATTGATAGTATTTGCTTATTAATCCCTCTGCAGTAGCAGACCATAAAAGCTAAATTTGTGACATGTGAGGTGTTTGTTGGCTTCTTTATTAGTCAGGAACATTTCTAGAAGAGAGTCCCCTTATTCTTATGAGCCCTTGGTCAAAACACTCAGCACGACCTTAAAGCATTTGATTTCTGAACCATATTGTCCTCCTTCTTGCAAGACCAGTTTCCCTGGCCCTTCTGCCCCATTGCCTGCAATAATGAATCGTTATGATTTTAGGGGAGGCTCTTGTGAGGCTCAATAGAGCTGCCACAGGTGAAAAATGAAGTTTCCCTCATCCAGCCACTGAAATGAACACATCCCTTCTGAACTCTGGGTGTATCCCCACCTTAAATTATCTGACCTTTGGAGAAGGAAACTTGAACGCGTTAAGAGATCCCAGCCACAGTTGCCTGATCACAATCACTTTGTCCTTTGGGTTTGTATACTGAATCATATTTAACCAGAGAGCCAACAGGTTGGACAGATACTATTGATTATTGTTTGGAAAAGGGAAAACCTCTGTGAGAAAGGATGAAGGCGCCTCACCCATCCTCTGACTTGACGGAGAACAGTTGCTTAGGTGCAGAGGGCAGCACACTGGCCCTGCCATCACGTGGGCAGTCACCCAGTGAGGCTGGTGGAGAGGAGTAGCTGTAAATTCATTCCCGGCTCCTACCAGACATGTACGTGCAAGGAAGAGATGACCCAAAGGTAATGACTCGTTTAGAAATTCATAGACTCCACTGGGCCCTTTTTCAGTAGTTGCCTCAGACCAAAGATTTCAGGAGCCCTGGCTAATTCTTATGTCTGGAATTAAGTGAGGTAGGGGGTACACAGGAGGTTCTTAATACAGCAGCAGCCACAGGGCAGCCGGTCTCAGGCCTCAAGCCCGAGCCCGGTTCCTCATCTGTTACAGACCCGCTCAACCTCAGGACCACAGCAGCGCCGTTCCAGCAGGTGCTACTAGCTGCCCAGGCACATTCCTCAGCACCACAAGAGCCGGAGAATGTTTACATAGGATTCTGTGTGTGTGTGTCACACCTCGAGCGCACATGCCACTGAATTCTCCTGTCTAGAGACTGTCCTGTTAAAGACCTTTCAGGTGGACACCCAAGGCACAGGAACACGTGTTCCCAAGTGCAGGGCTTCTTGTCACTTGGTTTCTGCAAATGGTGTGGACCCTTAGCTCAACATCTAACTTTTGGGGGGGTGGGGTCTCTCATCAGGATAATGAGAAGAGCAATTATCATCATACTGCCCTAAATTCACTTTTTAATATTGCTTTCTGAATCACGCTCTGCTTTGTTCTCTCATTGTTCCCCCTTCCGCCAACCCTTAGCGACAGGTAGAGGCAGATGAAGTTCATCCTTATTTTATAAAAAACCTAAAAGAGGCTGAAGGAAAAAACTTCACATCAACTAAAACTCGAGTGTTAAATTCTCAGTTTCATGACCTTTTCATAGGTCCTGATGACTTTTTTTTTGAAGCCCCAGATGCTGGTTCCTAGAAATATTGTAATAACCAGAGTTACCATTTCTGAGCCTGCAACCAGGCGTTTTATATACATCGTTTCTTTTCATCTGCCCCATTGTTTGAGTGGTGGTGCTGTCTGTGTTGAAACGGAGATCCAGAGACATTGTTAATGCAGGGATGTCAGGTCCCAGACCCAGGTGTTTCTAACTCTAAAATGTTGCCCTTCACTCTTCCACTGCCTGGCTCCTGTCTCTGACTGAAGTTGATTCTGGAACATCGCGTCGATCAGTAGCCAGATCTCACCTTCAGCCCAACCTGAGACAGAGCTAAGCTGCCCCCTGAGAAAATAGTAGCTTTGGAAAGATACAGACCGATGAAAGGAGATTCCCTTTGAGAACCGGTCTGTTTAATGATGATTTTATATACACTAGAAAGAACTCGTGCACCTGTGTTTTCAAGAGGTCCCTTCTGCCTTTCTTCCTACATCTTACTGCACCTTTTTGTTTTCCTTAAGAATGGCAGTTTTAACATTGCTCTTAATTAGATGAACTAAGAATGTTCTCTGATGTGGTCACCCCTCCCGCCCCCCCATCGCCCTCAGTTCCCCACTGCCGTGAGAGTGCTGTGGTTTCTGTGGTAGCAGGGCTGCCGGGGGAGCTCGGCGTTCCCTGGTTTGTCTGGTCAGAGGGAAGTTCAGGCAGTGCTTCCTGGTGCGCTGGGCTCTGCATGGGGCTCTCCAGGGGGTTAAGTGAAAGCGATGCAGTGAGACACGTTAGAGGCTGTGAGGTGAGCACAGCGAAGCTTCAGAAAAGTTCACATGCGCCCTGTGATTTCCTGACCAGTCCTTGGCCCTCACCTCGGGTAAGAGGGTCCCGCCCTCCCCTATGCGTCCCCGGGCTCTCAGGTACATTCCCAGTCTGACCGTTTCCTTTCTTCCCTGCGGTTCACTTGCTTCAGGCCATAGGAGGGACTTGGTTTCCCCCTGGATTTTGTTATTCTTGGTAACAGACTGTTTCTCCTCCCATTCTCTTTTCTCCCCTCTCTCTCCCCCACCCAGAGAGTTTTCAACGTCCTTTACCCCATGCCTGCTGACCAGCGGAGACATGTCAGCATCAATTCTGCCCGGTGGCTGCCCGAGCCAGGGCTCGGCCTGGCCTACGGCACCAACAAAGGAGACCTGGTGATCTGCCGACCGGAGTGAGTGGCTCGCGGGAGCTGGGGGGAGGGTGTGCAGGGGGCGTCTGGGTGGAGGTGTGCAGGGGGTCGTCTGGGCAGAGGACTGGAGTCAGCAGCATTCACCTGTGGGTCTGGCTGGTGAGGTGGGGTCTTCCAGAGGGGAAATCCGAGCCTTGCTAGAGCCTGCCTCATTCTTGGCATCACTCCTTAAAGGGTCCTTTCTGCCTCGGGAACGGTAACTCTCCATTCTGGAAATATTCAGAAGATTGGTGTAGGTACCAAGTGCTCTTAAATCTAAGGCAGTATTGTTTTTTTCTGTTTTCCCTTGTTCTCTGGTTTCCTAGTGATAGTCAAGTTTCCCTGCAGGCAGAAGCATAGATATCAATGATTCTTTTCTAAACCCTTTTTGAAAAATTCAGCAGGTGGTCTTGGGCTTGTGTAAATGCCTTAGACCCTAACTTAAGAAATAAAACCAAGAGAATAGCGTTAAAGCCCTAATTTGTCAAGCCACTGATCTCTGACAGCCTGGCTCTATCTGTGTCCTGCCTGTTTTCCTTTCTGCTTGGGCCTCCATCTCATAACAATGAAGGCAGATCGAAAAGCTCAGTCTAAAATGAAAATGATAGTTCACTGGTCTTGATAGAAGGAGAGGGTGGGGAGGCGGCGGGGAACCAGGGTGTTGCTGCCTTGCGTCCTTAGGTCACCTCCTTCCCCCTCCTCTGTTTCCTGGGGCAGAGAGGTCCGTTCAGGCACCCTGTCACTCAGGACCCTGGGAGTCCTGCAGGTCTGTCATCGGTTTCTGGAGCCAGCCAGGTGGGGAGACGCGAACTGTGCGCTTCAGTGTAGACCAGGCCGAGGGCTGCGTGGGCCACCTCGGGGATCCAGCCGATTAAGAGCCACGTCTGCCTCCAGGCCCTCCCCACTCGGTGCAGAGTCTTGTCCAAGGGGAGCCTGCAGAGCGCAGAGCAGGCACGGCCTGGCTGGTCTGCTAGGGTCTCTGGCTGTTGGGCGTGTCCACGTTGCCTTTCGATTGGGCCCTTGGTGATTTTTCCTAAAATGTGTGTTTGGGTCATTTCTGGTGGTCCAGGAAGGGATAGGTGGCTGAGCCCTGGTCAGCCGAGCTAGGTCAGTGGCCCAGGAGAAAGAACATCTGCTTCTGGCGACAGCTCTTTGATCCCACCTAGAATTTTCAGAGCCCCTTCCACAGGGAGGCAGGCATCTCAGCCCAACCTAGTGAGGCCACTCCAGGTGCCGCAGGCTTCTTGGTTCAGCTGGCCACATTCTCCTGGACTCTGTGACTACAGAGCCGGCCCTTTCACAAGCTCCTGGTGCCTTTCCAGAACACAACCTGCCTCTTCACGACGGTGCCGCTGTTAATCCAGGCGCTGGGTCTGTCCGTTTCTGCCCTCCCCCAGCCTGTCCGTAGTCCTGGGTCTGTCCGCCCTGAAGGATTTTATCCTATGTGCTGCCTTTCCCCAAAGCACAGGGCGCTGGCTCCCTAACTCCTCCTCCTCTCTCAGTCATTCACGAGAGGGCTCTCACAGGCACCTTTCCCGAAACTGGACATGCGTTCCGGGCTGTGGTCTCGCTCTCACCGGCCCTGTGGTCACAGGCCTCCTTTCCCTCTTCCTGCAGGGCGTCCTTTCTCAGCACTCTTGTCTTGTCTCTGGCTCCAGCTGCTCACCTGTCCCACCCAGGCTCCCAGCCCCCTCTCTCCCAACAGTGGTCTGCTCTGAGCAGAGGCAGGATCTCTACTCCCAGTTTGTCGTGGCCCCACAGAGGCTTTTACATCTGAAACCCCAGCCTACACACTCGGTGTGAGTCACAGACTCCTCAGCCAGACATGAAGCTGGCTTTGGCCTCTCTTTCTCCCCATATGTCGTCTTCAGCATCCAGCGTCTCTGCGAGCAGGAGCCATCTTGGGCTGCCTGGGGAGCTCTCTTGTTGTTTTTCTTTAGTCGCTCCGTCGGGCCTGACTCTCTGCGACCCCATGGACTGCAGCCCGCCAGGCTCCTTCGTCCACAGGATTCTCTCAGCAAGAATACTGGAGTGGGTCTCCATTTTCTCCTCCAGGAGATCTTCCCAACTTGGGTTGAGCCCGTGTCTCCTGCATGGCAGGCGGATTCTTCACTACCGAGCCGCTAGGGAAGCGTGGGGGGCTGTCTTCCCCCAGCAGGTCAGGTCTCCTCCGTGACAGGAGAGCGGTCATGTTTGACACAGCAAGCCACGCCCCGTCACAGACCTGGCCCTGGTGGGCTCAGGGCGAGCTGGGCCTGCCTTTCTGGTGGTGGTCTGTGCTCCTGATGTCTTGGGTCATGTGGGTCAAAGCCCCATACCTTAGGGCCGATATTTCAGGGTAAATTAAGGTGGGCGAGACTTTGTCTCAGGTTGTCCAAAGGCTCTCCAGGTCTCCGTCACCTTCATTTCTGTACTTTAGGCAAGAAGTACCATGAACAATATTCAGGTAAGGAAGTTAAGACCCACCTCAGGTCTTCTGGTGAATCAGGTGACAGAATGAATTTTCCTAAGTTTGCCATCCAGAACTCTTTCCTGTAGCTGATTCTTAACCTTTTTTTTTTCAGTCAAAAACCACTTTAGAATTCCAACAAAAGCAACATACTCTCTTCCACAGAAAAATATACCACTTGCAATTCTGTAACTCTCTTAAGACCTCAGGTGAAGAAAGCACCTCTAGATCACCTTGAGGCATTTAAGTGGGTCAGGTGACTGAGGCAGTGGGAAATGAGCGAGGATAAGTGAGACCATGGACTTCTTTTTTTTTTAATATTTTATTTATTTATTTGGCACCACCAGCCCTTCGTTGTGGCATGCGAGATCTTTAGTTGTGGTATGTGGGATCTAGTCCCTGACCAGGGATCGAACCCCAGCCCCCTGCATTGGGAGCAGGAGTCTTAGCCAGTGGGCCACCAGGAAATGTACATCTTTTGAACACACTCTGAGTGGTGTCCAGCCCAGGATGAGGAGAACAAATATGAAAGTAGAAGCTCGGCATTGTCACCTGCTGCCTGGCCCCGCGTGACACAGCTCCCTGGCACCCCCGTTCCCAAGGGCACAGCCAGCCAGCTGGGCCAAGATGACCGCCCTCCCTCCGAAACAGGTGGTTGTCTGCCTTCGTCTCAGGCTCAGGCAGCTGCACCACATCATGTGCTTTCAATCCTGTTCTTGGTTTCCCCTCCACTGTCTTATCCTTGACACGCTCTCCGAGCACAAAGACAGAGGTAACAAGCTTCTTGGGCATCTCTTGATGGGTTTTAAAAACCCGCTTGACAGTAGGCGAACAAAGCCTCAGGTAACACTCCGTCTCTCCACACGCAGCAATTCCTGGGACAGGTGAGGAGACGAGCCACTGTCCCTTCAGCCTGTACACAGAGCCCTTTCAGTGGCTGATAGCCTGGCTGCCTGCCCCCCTCCTCCCCTTTCTAGCAGTGAGGTGCTCCTTTCTCCTTTGCTTCACCCCCCGCTTCTCCTGTGCCTCTAGCTGACCACCAGTCCAGCCGACGCCCCCGCCAATAACCACAGTGGGCGTGGAGTGCCAGATAGGCGTAAGGCGCTGCTTGCTCATTTCCGGCTTCATAAGTCAGCCCTACAAATGGGGGGTGGGGAGGTGCATCTGGGAAGACCACTGGGTGTCAGAGTCCTCTCAGAAGGCAGAATTCAGAGACTCATGTCAGGAGAAAAGGAGGTCGGGGGGGAATCAACTGGTGTTCCAGCCGTTGTTACTCAGCGCTTCCACTGCTGAGGGCCCGGGTTCAGATCCTGCTCAGGGAACTGACATCCCACAGGCTGCATGGCACGACTGCGCCCCACTCCCCCCCCAAAAGACCTTCTTTCCAAGGAGAAAGCTGTGTGGAGCTTTCCAGGCCTCCACTGATAGATGAAAGAATGTCCTCAAAGGGGATATACCCTAGAAGTTGGGAGGTTCGGAGCCAGAGTCCTATGTGAGAGCAGCTTGAGGGGTCGTTGGGCCAGGCCCAGAAGCACCGCTCACAGAGACTTGCTGGACGCAAGTCTGTTGAAACAGCCGACCCGACTGGCCTTCCCATGCCTCTCCATCCCTCTTTGTCCAGCTTCCAGGAAGGACCCAGAGCAGACAGTGGTGACTCACTCATCGTCCCTAAGGACCAAAGAGAAAGGAGAAGGTTGGCACCATTCTTCAACTTAGAGGTGGAAATAAGTGACATTGAGCATTGACCGGGGTTTCCTTGGCCAGAGAGGGTTATCTTCAACTCTGTTCTCTGGTCCAGTGCCTGGCCTTTCAGCCACATGCACGAGCTTGTCTTAGTCAAGCTGGTCTGACCACAGAAGGTAGAACAAAGTGTGGCTCGCACTGGACCTCTTGGTGAGGAGCAGAGGGGATTGGGGTTGGGGGAAGAAGGGAGCCGCACATTGATAGTCCCCATGGCCCCTGGTCTGTTTGGCAGTTGACATCCTCAGTAAACGGCCAGAGTTTGCAGCTCGGGGCTGAGGATGCAGGCTGCCGGGCGGGAAGTGTCTGAGGGGCTCTGGCTCGGCGTCCTGCTGGCAGTCGCCGCTCGGGGAGTGCCTTCAGGGGGCCTTTCCCCCAAGACGGGGAGGAAGGGGCCTGGTCACCGCGGACGTGGTTCGGTGTGGGCTCCGTGTGAGCAGTTTGTCATCACTCACCAGCCCAGGGTAGCAGGCGGTGCCGAGGAATTAGAGAGGAAGGACTTGGCGGGGACCCACATGGTAGCGCCTCTTGTCAATAAATCCTGACAAGTTTGTAAATCAGGCTCCCCGGCAGCTGGCTTCACATGGTGCCTCACACAGCCCAGATCTGCTCATCAGAAGCTGTGGTGGTGGTTTCGTTTTACGGGGGCCTCTGCTTGTGACTTCTGGCCTTGCCTCTTCCCTTAGGTCAGGTCGTCTCTCTCACCTTTGCCCTCCACCGCCCTGTAGTTCTCAGACACACACAAAAGTGGCTGAGTATCTGGTGACTCAACTCCCTGCAGCCTCGAGGAGAAACAGCCGCTGACTGAGGCCCAGGAGACGTGGCCCGCCGCGCCCTGTGTGTCTGGGGGAGTGGCCGGTTCGGGCTGAGGTGTCCGGGTTCCAGGTGCTGGCCACAGTCCTGGCCTCCGGGCTGCTTCGAGAGGCAGCTGCAGGTGTTAGCGTTGTTTTCGTCTTAGTCACTCGGTCGTGTCCGACTCTGCCACCCCATGGACTATAGCCCACTAGACTCCTCTGTCCGTGGGATTCTCCAGGCAAGACTACTGGAGTGGGTTGCCATTTCCTTCTCCAGGGGGTCTTCCCGACCCAAGGATTGAACCTTCGTCTCCTGCATTAGCAGGCGGGTTCTTTACCACGGAGCCACCAGGGAAGCCCCAGGTGTCATTACCCTGAACTTTTAATTCTTCACTGATGTTCTTTTAGAAGGCACGTCTGAAGATCACACCAGACCTGCCCTCTTAGTGGAGCTGGGGGCCAGGGAGGGTGGGGTGGGGTGAGATTAGTCCAGAGCAGAGAGAGGACGAGCCCTTTCGTGGCTGCGGCTCTTTCCCAGAGGTGACGCCTCGTTCCCAGAACCTTAGTGACCCTCTGGTGACAGGTTTGGGGCCTGCTTCCTCTCGCCTGAGGTGGCATGGCTTCCTGACACACAGTTGCTCACCATGCAGGCCCCATCAGGTCCCTGTTGTATCTAATCCTCACATTTAGGAAGGACTAACCCTACATCATCACCACCGGCCCCCCCCCCCTCATCTTTTCCTGGCTGATTCTCATGACCCTCTGATTTCCGTTTGTTTGCTCTTTATTGAAGAAGTTGTGTTGTTACCGTCCAGGATGGTGACCTAAGCCTCTGGGCTCTCGTTGGAGCTTTTCTTAGTTCGAGCTGCCATAACAGAATACCACAGACAGGGTGACTTAATCGCCAGAAATTTATTTCCTCCTGTTCTGGAAGCTGGGAGTCTGAGATCAGGTGCCAGCACAATTGAACTCTGGTGAGGACTCCTTTCCTGGCTGGTCGACGACCCCCTTCTCTCTTCTCGCTGTGTCCTCACGTGATGGAGAAAAGAGAGTAAGATCTTTCTTTCTCTGTCCTTTATAAGGCCAGAGTCCTTTTGGATTAAGGTCCCAGTCTTATGACCTCATTTATTAACCTTAATTACCTTTTAAAGACCCCCTCTCTCGGGTAGGGTTTCAACATGTGAATTTGAGGGAATTCCATCTGCAGCAGAGCTTTTCAAGCCCGTTGTGTGTGCCCTGACCCTCTGAGGAGCAGAGCTGGCCATTTTGTCTCTTACAGTCTCTTCACGGACACCGGAGTGCTAATCACAGGGCTCAAAGACACCTCTTTCCCAACTCTTTACCTTCTCATTTCCTCACCACCAGCAGCACCCCACCGTGAGCCCTGTGATGGGTGTAGGTAGCATCTTTTTCAGTGGGGAATCTTTAAAATTAAAGGCGTCTTGTGTCTTGGCACACACCGCTGGCAGCCAGGCTTGCTGCCTGAGGAGGCACTTCAGTCTAGAAAAATAAGAGGCCCCCGCTTCCCTCCTAGCAGTTGTGCCTGGGTGAGAGTGTGATAAAGCGCCCGACACTCCACTGCAGGGAAAGAAGGAGCCAGGGCCAGGCTGGCAGCTGGGAGAACTTGATGGACAGAAACTCCTTTCTCTGCCATCAGCCGCCCAGCCTTTCGCCGCTGGAGTTCCTCTCCTCACCCCATCCCCTGGAGAGGCTTGTGAGCCCTCCCGGGTCATCTTCAGCTCTCCCTGTTGCTTTTCCAGCCTCTACCTGGCAAAGGAGGCTCTCAGGCCAGAATAGAAAGAGATGTGGGCCTCTGGCTCAGCGGGAGCTTTTTCCTGTTAGCCTTCTGAGCTGCAGGCAAAATAAAAACGTCAGGGTGCCCTCCTCTGCCTTTCTCCTGGCCCCGTGGCTGTAGGGGAGGCCCAGTGGCGAGAGCCTGCGCTCACGTCCCGAGCACTGAGCGCGCCCTTCAGGCAGGCAGGCTGTGGCGCTTGGCATCTCCAGGGCCTTCTTAGCCACCGTCTTGTATGGCTGAAGAATATGCGGACCTCGCTGCCTATGACGGGCGTGGCTATCTTTTTGCTTCTCTCAGCCCCCTAGAGGAGCCAGTCAGGCTTTGGGAGATGGAAGAGGCTAAAGCCGCCACTCCAGGCGTCGGGGCTGCTGGAGATACATCGGGCTGCTTGGCACTGAGCATCCTCATGGAGCATCTGTCTCTTCGCAGCCTCAGCCCAGTCCCAGGAGAGAGGAAGGAAGGAAAAGGAGCGAGGCGTTCTGGTCATTCTCTCATGTCTTCCACTCTGTCTCCTTCCCAACTGATTTCCAGGGCCTCGAACTCTGGTGTTGAGTACTACTGGGACCAGCTGAATGAGACGGTCTTCACTGTTCACTCCAGCAGCCAAAGCAGCGAGAGGCCTGGGTGAGTTTGTGAAGGAGGCAGCCGGCCATCCCTCCTGCTTCAGTGGGTCCGGAGCGGTGCCCTCACGCCTGGCTCCGTGGGTGTCCCTTCTCAACGAGAGCAGCTCCCTCTGCTCTGCTTCACACTTTGAGCTTTTGTACGTGGTTCCGTTCAAGAAAAGCGTTTCATAGCTAAGAAAAAGACCAAAAGCTCTGCCCTCCAAGTCTCGATTGAAGACCAGCTAGGACCCCATCCAGCCCCCCGGTCCTGGCCGCAATGTCCGGGGAAGCCGCATTGAAAAGAGCTCTGGAGAGGGATGCCCTCCCTAGGAACTTGCTCGTGGGCAGCCTCCCACGTGACCCAGGCCTCGGGGACCAAGCTGCCCAGAGCTGCAGCCCAGGGACAAACCCTCCCCAGGGGCCACTTAGTAGGAACCTGGTGCTGATCCTCCCATCATTTAATTCATTAATGGAGACGGAAACGTTCTGAGAAAACAAAGCGCTGGGTCAGTGGTAAAGCCAAAGCAGTCACTGCTTCCTCGGGGAAGTCCCGGGCACGGTCCCCAGAAACAGTCACTGCTTCCTCGAGGAAGTTCTGGGCACAGTCCCCAGAAACAGTCACTGCTTCCTCGGGGAAGCCCCGGGCACAGTCCCCAGAAACGGCTGCAGACAGGACGGTTGGTGCCCACCCTGAACACCGCGGGCCCGCTCCGCTGCCAGCTCCTGCCACCCTGAGGGTCTGCGCCCAGGACGTGCCCAAGTGGGGGGGTGCTTTGGGCCTGGGCCTCACTCTGGGCAGCTGGTGCTCCCCGCTTCTTAGGAGGACCCCCAAACAGCCCAGTAGGAGTCCTGTGGAGTCCCATGGAGTGGAAGTTCCGAGAGTTTAAACTGGAGTCTTGCCAGCATGTAGCTGGAGGGGGGAAAAGCTGAAGGGAGGGCCGCTTGTGCTGCTCACCCTTGGCCCCGTGGCTTCCAGCCGCTCAGCTGCTGGCTGCCTGAGTCCTGAGTGTCTTTTAAGATCAGCCATCTCTGCCTCCCCAGAGAGGCCCTCATTGTTGGGGTGACTGGACCAGCCGTCTTTGCAAAAGATGGGTGGTTCCGCCACTTCCTTTTCACCGTCCCAGGACGTGGACTGATCTGGAGGAGAAGGACATGTACAGGTTAACCGGCCGCGAGAGGCCGCTGTGGGAGTGGGCCTCAGCCTGCCGGCCCTGGTTCGGCCTGCGCCGTGAGTTCGGGCGCAGAGCAGGCAGGGCTCTGTGGGGCCGCTGTTCCCAGCCCTGCCTGACTCCCGTCCGCCTGTCTGTCCCTAGCACCAGCAGAGCCACGTGGAGGACAGACAGAGACATGGGCCTGATGAATGCCATCGGCCTGCAGCCCCGGAACCCCACCACGTCGGTGACGTCTCAGGGCACCCAGACTCTGGCCCTACAGCTGCAGAATGCGGAGACCCAGACGGAGCGGGAGATACAGGAGCCGGGGACGGCAGCTTCCGGTCCTGGTGAAGGTAGGAGCTGTGTAACACTAGAGGGGAAATAAGCCAGCGGGGAAGGGAGGTTGGTGGTTAGGACCATTCTTGCCTCCCCTGAGGCTCCTGCCCCCTTTGCAGACAGGTGGTGCTGGGACTGCGACACAGCCGCCAGGGCGGGCACCCCTCCCACGGCGACAGCGCTCAGCGCCTCCTTGGACAGGAATGTCACTTCCCTGATATGGACCACCTGTTACAGCCTCCCGGCTACTCTTAGAGCTTGGCCCAGCACCCAGCAGGGACCCTGACCTCCTTATCCTCTAAAACTTGCAGGGCTCAGAGAGTCACAGAAAAGGCAGGAGGGACGCCCTGCTGCAAACTCACATGCCAGAGAGCTGCCAGGGCCACCACCACCACCCTCTGCCCCCACCTGGGGTAGCTGTCTTCTCTCTTCAGCCCGGCCGGTCGAGAGGCCCTTACACACATGCGTCTTTCACGGCCGTTGGGGCTGCAGCCTGGCTCACGATCAGCCCCTTTCTCTCAACTGTGGCAGGCGTGGCTCGGCCATGGCTCCGTGCTGGCCTCACGTTGCTGAGAACCAATTAGCACCTCCCTGCGTAGTGCTCAGGCCCCCTTTGGAGTGTGTCCGCAGCTATGTTAAATAGGCTGTTCACACCTAGTCGGTCTCCTTGCCCCCCACCCTGGCCCCTGGCTGCTTGCAGCTCCATACACAGCAGCCTCCAGACAGCCCTGTCATCTCTAGGTCTGTGGTAAGCCACCTGCTCAGGAGAGACCAGAAGACAGGTATGCTCTGGGCAGAGGAGCAGATCTGTGTGTCCCCTCAGGGCACAGCTTCTGTGCTGCAGCCTCGCCCCGGGCACTGTCCCGCGGCTGCCACGAGCTGCCGCGTCTTACAGCCACGTCCCTTTCCGTCTGTGGCCCAGGATGGAAACCCCCAGTGTGGACGGAGCTGCCAGAGCAGCCCTAGCCTCACCAAGGAGGAGAGTGCGCCAGCACCTCCCGCCAGCCCCGGGCGGATCCTGGTCTGGGCGGCCCCTCTGCCGTGTTCGCGTGGCCTCTTCCTGTCCTCTGTGCATCAGCTGCTGCGGCTAGAGACAGGCCTTGGTGCTTCCCCGAGGAGCTGAAGTCTAGAGCAGGAGGCGGGCCCCCAGCGGGTAGTGACTTCTCGTGATTAGGACCTCAGGGCTGCAGAGGAGGGGGAGCCGCACCCCGGCCGTGGGGCTCGGGGAGGACTCCTGGAAGAGGCGACCCTGAGCTGCACCTTCCGGGATGAGGCGGAAAATGCCAGGCAAAGTGGGGTGCGGAGGAGGACAGGCACTGCTCGCAGAGGGGACGGCACCTGCAAGGGCGCCATGCTCAAAGCCATTACAGTCTGCACCAAGGACCTCTGGGGGGCTTTTGTTTGTGGCCTGTCAGCGCTTGTTGACAACTGAGGCTGGACGCGCGGGGAGGGCAGGTTACAGGGAGCTGGTTCTGGAGGTAGGCCTCCGCCCTGAAGGTCAAGTACAGGGGGGCTGCCCACCTGAGAAGAAGGGCATCCTCCCGTGTTTTCATCTGCCAAAGATGCCCTGGTTATTTCTTGACTTGCATCAGCTTGTTTCTGACCTCCAGTCAATTATGATTGTAAGTGCCTTTCTTCATGGTTGGGGGTGGGGAGGATGGGCTGGCAGGAGGCAGAAGAGTCTTTTTTCCAGTTTCAGAAGCCAGAACTTCATTCTCTCCCAGTCTCCTCCCCGCAAAGCAGAGGGGTTGGTGGAGGACAAGCCCTTTAGAGGCCAGAGGCACTTTTCAGCAGGGGACAGTCAGGAGGGGAGCTGTGGCCGAGTAGCTCAGATAGCTCACTGCATCTCTCTGTGGCCTGACGACCTTTGCCTGGAGCTTTGGACCTCTGACTTTGAAAGGGACAATGTCATAGTCCCTTGCAGAAAGCCCGTGCCTAGAAAGAAGGAGAGCAGATGCATGGGGCATTGACCAACGAGCCAGCCTCTTCTCTCCTGGGTCCAGGAGCCTAGTCCTGGGGTGCTTCGCCCTTGACCGCCATCCACTGCTGCCGCTCTGGTAGGGGAAGCTGGAGTCGGAGTCTCCTCGGGCTCAGACTTCCTCCCTGGTCTGCTTTCCCCATCTAGCAGGCAGGCACGGCAGCTTTCTCTCTCTCTCTCACTCGCACACACATTTCTCCTCCTCTCCCCCCAACCCCCACCCCCAGTCAGCAAAGTAGTGGCCACATCTGCAGAAGCAGTAGAAGAGACTGCTCATCACGCTGGTGAACTCCTCCTCTGGGCTCAGCTAGGAAGCGGGCCCCGTGGGAGTACCCCTGTGCACCCCTCCATGCACCAGCAGCCCAGGCACCTTAGGGTGGGCCGCCGACTGCACGGCGGCAGTTGCCGTCCAGTGGCCCGTCTCTGAGCCCTGTCCCACTGGCTCGCACTGAGGGGTTCTCAGCTACTCCTCATGTTCATGTTGGATAGGAATTTTATTAAAATCCATTCAGTTCTGTCTAGGACTTCCCGGAGGAGCCCTCCATGGGGGGAGTTGGCAGGTGTTGACTTTTTTGCTGGTCCAGCTTTAAAGCTTCCCTGCCCCTGTCACTCCAAAAGCGAGGGGCAGCATCCCCGGGCTCTGCGTTTGCTCCTAGCACTGACACCATGCCTGCCTGGCTTGCAGTGGACCCTCCGCAAATGTGAAATGAGTGAACTGACTCAAGGCAGGGCCCTGCCCCCAGCTTGGCTGTGCTGCACTATTCAGGAGCCCACGGCTCTGCCTCTGACCACTGGGAAAGGTTGCCTGGACCTTTCTGTTGTCTGGGGAAGACAATAGTACGGCTGCAGGAACCTGGGCCGTGGACCAGGGAAAAGCAACCGTGAGGGGGAGGGGCAGGGTGCCCCTGAGATCAGGACAGGCAGCTCCTCTCCTGATGCAGCCTGGCCCCCCTCGTCCGGGCGGGGAAACCCCAAAACTGGCCATCATGGAAAGTTCCTGATGCCACCCTGGCCTCTGCATCCAGAATGTACCTTGCCAAGGAAATGATCTCGTGTCAACACGAAATCAGTCTCCCATTTTTCAAAGACAAAAAGAAATGCTTTTGCTGCAGGGAAGGCGACAGCAAACTTACCTCCCGTGGCTGCCCCTGCTCCTGGAGCTTAGCTTGGATCCCTGACCACAGCTGCCACTCCCCGCGGGCCCCAGGGTGTTCCCCTCTGGAGGAATGTGCTGGCGGCCCACCTTGGCTCTTAGCCTTGGCTTAGAGCTCCCCAGCTCCCAGCTCTGGCTGAAGCTCCCCATACCCAGCCCTGAGGAAACTGTTAGTGTGTATGTTTTAAACACTTTTGTCCGATCTTTATTGAGTGCTTTAGTACTAGTGTTGTATTAGGCGCCAGGAATCCAGAGGGAATCAGATTGAGAGATGAAGCCACGTCTCTTCCCTCACACATTAAGTTCAGAAAGGAGACGGACGTGGAAGTGCACCCCCAGAGCAGAGGGTAACACATGACCAGATTTTGGAGGTCCCCTGAAGGCCGGAGAAGGAAATGGTAACCCACTCCAGTATTCTTGCCTGGGAAGTCCTATGGATAGAGGAGCCTGGTGGGCTGCAGTCAATGGGCTCACAAAGAGTCAGACACGACTGAGCGACTTCACTTTGACTGAAGGCTGGAATGCCTGTAGGCGGTCTGGGAGCCCTTGAGTCACCCACACACTTATGTGACAGGTGGACTGTAAGTGCAAGCCCAAAGGGGATCAAAACGCAGTCTGAGGCCATCAGGGACCTGGAGCCAAGAAGGGAGAGACTGCCGTGGAGAGGTGCGGGCCCTGCAGGGCTCAGAGAAGAGGCAGCGATGCCCAGCAGGGGCCGGGCCGGGGCGGGACGGGGGCAGGGGCGGGCACTGGCCTGAGAACAAGTGGCCTTGGGCCACGGGGCAGCGGGCCGGTGTGTGACAGGGAGGACCCCCACAGTGTGCGTAGGCAGTCTGTGGGGGTGGGAAGAGGGGTGGTCAGGGCAACAGCTCGGACCCGACCGGAGGCCTGTGAGCATCACAGCATCCTCACCGCTTTGAGGACTCTCGTGATTGCTGGGTTTTGAAGAGTATGGACTCAACCAGAGCCCAGTGGCTCCGAGCGGAATTAGGACGGCAGCAGTAGCAGCGCGGAGGCCGGGCGGAGGGGGAGAGACGCCCACAGACCCGTTCGGACAGACAGCTGCAGTGACAGACGGCCGGGACCGCAGGTACTGGTGCAGCGGGAACGGACAGAAGGGCCCGGAGTCAGGCGCCCAGCGCTATGCTGAGGCCTAACTGACAGCTCCCTGAGGGCCCCCAGCAGCCCTGCCCGGCCCCCAGAATGAGCTTTGGGAGAAGAGGAGAGTGTTCGCCGAGCAGGGTGCCTGGCCAGGGAGCACCGGTGCCAGCAGGCCAGGGGCCAGCCCGCTGCTCACCCCGGGCCAGGCTGGGGAGCCCCCGACGCATGGGGCGCTTGGAAAACCGTGGGGGTGGCAATGAGCGCAAGGGTCCCCCGGGGCCTCCCCAGGCAGCCCTTTTGGCTCACAGGGTAGACACTGCTGGCAGCGAGGCCCTGGGTTGCCCGTTCTCTCGCCGCTCACCCGCTGCTGGCGGCTTTCCCCGAGAGGAGTGCTCAGAGCCCTTCAGGTCCTCTCCCCTGCCCTTGGGGTTGGCCTGAGCTGCCTCAGGGGAAGGTGCCTGAAGCAGCTGTCTTGAGGGGTTGGAGGTGGGAGGGTAGAATTTATCAGAAAATCTGGAGAAAAGCAAGCTGGACATCAGCAAAAGCCTTGGTGGAGTCCCTGCTCAGTGCTGGGGAATGCTGTCTCCCCGAAGATGGACCGCCAGCACACGCCGCCATGCACCCGTCAGGACGGAGGGGCCTTCCGGGACGTTGGCACAGCTGGGTTGCCCAGACGATGTCTAGATGCCCAGCTCTGACCAGGCAAGCAGGGGGACAAGGCGCTGGATGGTGCAGCAGCAGAGAAAGTCTCGCAAAGATAGCAACTGACGACAAATACTGCCGAAAGTTCAAAACTATCGAAGCCGCCCAAACTGCAAAGTCCCCAAGTGGCCAACAAACAGGCAAAGGAAACAAACCCATCCATAGTTTGGTGGAGCAGCCCTGGCCGCCTGGGAGCCTTGATCATAGCTGCCCACAGTCTTAGACCACTTAACCTGCCAGTGAGGGCCGAGCACGAGCCAGAGTAAGGCCCCTCGGGGCGGGGCTCTTCCCGCAGAGACCAGGTTACGACAGCCACCACGGAGCACCCGCTGTGGACCAGATGCTTAACGGGCGTCATCTCATTCCCTCCGCCTGGCACCGTGCAGGCTGGATGTTTTCATCCCTGTTTTGCAAGTCAGAAAACTGAGGAAATGTGGGTGGCAAGGGATTTATCCACGGTCACACAGCTAGTGAATGGGAGAACCAAGATCTGAGCCAGTGTCATCTGCCCCCTTCAAGAAGATGCTCAGGCTTTTGGGGAAAGAGCAGGACCTTCCTTGTTCCTCCCTCAAGATGCAGACTGAAACATCAGGCTGGGGCAGTTGGCTGCTTCCAGGGAAACATGAGGGTATCAGGCATCTGGCCCCGCGAGAACAGTACATGGGGAATAACGTGGGAAAGTGGGACATTAAGAGGAGACAGAATGCCTTCGAAGGAACACTTGAAAATCGTCTTCCTCGTGTGCATTTAGAAAGTGACATAAACAGAAGAATAATGGAGAGAGATAACACAGCTTTGAAAAGGTGCCAAGCAGAACGTGCGTCTTCTAGACGCACCCTGTACAGTGCCCTTGCTTTCCAAACACCAGACGTGGACCCTGTCCCAGGCCCAGGCCCAGGCCCAGGCCGTCCCTACTAGGCTGTGTGAGACGGGGAGGGGCAGACACCACCGGCCCTCTGGGCTGTTTCTGTGGGATGCGAGACCAGCCTGCCTCTGGTGTCCAAGGGGTTAAAGGCAGACTCCCAGGTTCCGGTCCAGGCCTCGCGCTTGCGCTTAACCAGCTGAGCAGTCTCAGCGCCCTAGGCTGAAGTGTGAATTAGGATTGTTTGGGGCATCTTAGCTAGCTTCCAAGTCCCTGACTGATTTTTTTTTTTTTTTTTTCGGCTGCACCATGCAGCCTGTGGGATCTTAGTTCCCAGACCAGGGATCGAACCCGTACCCTGCCCCCCTGAATTGGAAGCACAGAGTCTTAACCACTGGACCACCAGGAAAATTCACTTGATTGATTCTTGAGGGGTTGGCCACTGCGTTGCTCCTGCCTGTAGCTAGAATCCGCCGGGTCCTCCTAGCTCTGGCCTGCCTGACTCAGAGGCCCAGGCCAGCGGCTGATTCCCTCCCTTCTGCCTTATACCTTCCAGGGGAGGGCTCGGACTACGGGGCCAGCGGGGAAGACGCGCTCAGCAGGATCCAGCGGCTGATGGCTGAAGGGGGCATGACGGCCGTGGTGCAGCGCGAGCAGAGCACCACCATGGCCTCCATGGGCGGCTTCGGCAACAACATCATCGTCAGCCACCGCATTCACCGCAGCTCCCAGACAGGCGCTGAGCCGGGGGCCGCGCGCACGCCCTCGCCACAGCCCTCCACCTCTCGGGGAATGCTCCCAGAAGCCGGGCAGCTGGCAGAGCGAGGCTTGAGCCCCCGGACAGCCTCCTGGGAACGGCCCGCTACCCCTGGGCGGGAGCCCGCCCTGCCCTCCTCCTCCACGGCCTCTCCTCCCGCCCCCCTCCCCAGCACCGAGGGACCAACCCCGCAGCGCTGTGACCTGAGCAACAACCACCGCCTTCCTGACGGCGGGGGCAGTGCCAGGGGGGAGGCCTCGGGCCCCAGCGGGGAGCCACGGAACAGGTAGAGACAGGCGTGCCCTGGTGCCTCCCCTTGAACCGCTGAGCAGAAACTGGACCTCACAGCTGACTGGGAACCGAGCGCGCGGAAGAGCCGTGGGCTGCGTCAGGGAACAGGAGCGCGAGGGTGGGGGTCAGGAGGGCGTCCATCCGGGGCAGCAGGGAGTGAGGCGGTGCAAGGGGCCAGGTTTGCCTCCAGGGACTAGACTCTTCCAGGATCTGGGGCCCAGGGGTGTCACAGACTGCTGTGCTCCTTGCGAGTGGAGGAGGAAGTCGGTGTCCCTGCCACGCACCCCCCCTCCTTCTCCTGGAACCAAGGCTCAAGGGACTCAGCCCTGGGCAGAGAGCCCCCGGGAGGGTGAACAGTCTTCCAGATCTAGGCCCGACCGTCCTGGCCAGTGGCCAGTAGGGCAGCTTCTCCCTGTTCACCTGTCGTGCAGGCAGAGCCACCAGGAGCCCTAACGCAGGAGGAGCGGTCTGGCCCCCAGAAACCACCTCCATCTCTGAGCCTTCCAGAGCTTCAGCCCCTTGATCATCTTCCCCCCACAGAGACCACAGTCAGGGGTCAGGCCCGGCTCCCGGACTCCTGAGCACGGGGACTTCTGCACTTAGAGTGGGGGCCAACCATGGAGTGGGGGGACAGCCTGCTTGCCCGAGACGGGATGGAGTCAAGGGACAGTGGGCAGGTCCTCACTCAGGAGTGGGGGGTGTAGGCTGGCCAGCCCCCAGGGCTTGTCCACCAAGCTCCTCCTTCCCCACCACCCCCAAGGCCCTCAGAGCAGCACCCGTGGGTGTCAAGTGTTAGCTGAGCCTAGGCCAAAGCCAGCCCAAGGCTGGGGGAGGGGTGAGACTCCGGGTCAGAATGTGAGGTCTTGGTCTGTGATTTAAGGTGTTGCATGTGGAATCTTGAACTGTACGTGTAGTTTCTAGTGGAGAAATCAAGGCTCTGATTATTTTGTTTTTAGTATGAAAAATGTGATTACTTTTCTGTTTGTAACTCATCATAGAAACATTGTGGTGGGAGGAGAGGGGATAGTCTGACTGCTAATGAGGGAAACACCAAAGATCTACATCATTAAAATGATGACATGCCCCTCACCGGTCTCCTCTGTTTGTTTCCACGGGGGATGGAGGGAGCGGGGAGCGGTGGGGGCCGGGGCCGTGGGGCTGGGCTGCCGCGGTTCTCCCGAGCAGTGCCTCTGATGCTGCTGTCCTCGGCGGGGCGCCCCACGATGCCTCAGCAGAAGCCACTCAGGTAAGAGCTGCCACACCTGCTTCACGCTGCACCCGTGTCCCACCACTGCCTGCTTCTAGGAGCCTGCTAAGGTTTGGGGCATCCTTCATGGTAACAGGTGGGTAGGTAAGAATGCTGGGAGGTCACTCATCTTGGTTGCTTCCTACTCAGGATGATGGGCCTGGAGTGAAGAAATCACTGAACGGAAAGCTGGCTCCCCTGCAGTCCTGTAAAGCACGTGTCATGGGTATCTGGGGTGGCCCACAGGGAGAAGGCCTTACCTACAGGTATCCCCCCAAGATGCCGTGCGCTGGGGGCTTGGGTTTCCCTTTGCTTTGTGTCAGGGCAGTGGCCCAGGGGTCTGCTGTGGTCCTGAGTCTTGGCCATTGAGTTTTAAGCCAGTTGGGGAAAGGATACTTGCTCCCTCTCTCACGGGGGACGCGGAGGTCAGAGCCGCCTCCAGGGCTTTTCGCAGCAGCTACTTTCCGAGTAACCTTTGTGTTCGGCTCCGTCCCAGACACTGCGGGGCACACAGGAGTCTGCTCTGCCCCGGCAGCGATGGAACCGCAAGATTAAAGCAAGTAATATGAGACCATGTGAAGAGGTATATGGTGAGGAGCACTGGAATTTTAAGTGTTATTATAGCACGCTCTGGACCAAGAGACACATCAACTAGCTGTGTGACCTTGGGCAGGCCACGTCCCTTTTCTCTTGCTTCATTTTTCCGAATAGGAGGTAGAGCTTATTCTCTGCAGCCTCCTAAAGTTACTTCCAGCTCTGAGAGCACTGGGGTGGTAGGAGGAGGCCTCCTTGGAGAGGTGAGATTTGAGTTACACATTAAAGGATGGAAGGAGAATGGCGCCCCCTGCAGTGCCTGCCCTCCACCAAACCCTCCCCTCCCTCTGTGGGAGGAAGAATTCCGTGGTCTGAGTGGGGACTCTGAATGTGTTGATGGTAAAACGTGTGCTGAGGATTCAGCGTTTATCATCTCAGGCCTTTCCACAAACCCTCTGTGGTGGGTGCACACAGCTCACTGGTGGAGCCAGGGTCTGAACCCAGATGGGACCCTGTTACTTTGGGAAAAAGGGGTAGGAGGAGGCCTTGTGGATGAAGTGACCTAAATTCAGTCCTGCCTGGCCTTGCCTCTGTCCTTACTGGTCAAGCATGAACCCAGCCCCTACCTGTTGGAGACCCTTGTCAACACCTCCCATCCCCACACCATCCCCTTTCCTTAGAAAGCCCTTGTCTGCATGGGTAGAGCTTCCATGGGCCCCCTTGCTGATCATGATAAGGTTGCAGGGTCAGTGGGGCAGAACTCAGCAATCCCAACTGGATTCCCAGCAGTTCTGTGGACCCAAGATGGGCTTCCCTCATGGCTCAGTTGGTAAAGAATCCGCCTGCAATGCAGGAGACCTGGGTTCAATCTCTGGGTTGGGCAGATCCCCTGGAGAAGGGAAAGGCTAGCCACTCCAGTATTCTGACCTGGAGAATTCCATGGACTATAGTCCAAAGGGTCGCCAAGAGTCGGACGGGACTGAGCGACTTTCACTATCAAGATGCCTATGGACCCGGTTGGATCAAAGGTAGAGAGTAAAGACTAAACCAAGTCCCTTGATTTCTGACTCTGCTCTCCACAGTTCACTGTGAGATCTGGGATTGGGGATGCCCAAGGCCCTACCTACCCCACCATAGGCATTTTGGGAAAACGGGGGTAGCTTTGCCCAACAGCTTCTGGAAGAATTCAAGGGAGTGGTTGGAGACTTTTCTAGTTTCTGCAGCCTCCAGTGGCCTTGTTTGTTTCCTCCTCTGACAGTTCATCCCAACCTGCATGTCTGTGCAAACACACACTTTCACCCTCCTACAAGGACCACCCTCTCCCAGGCCCTAGGAAGGATATGGAAAGGGGAAACCAGTGCAGACAGTTATCTATTCGTCACATGAACCAACCAGGCCAGTTTTCTCTTCTGTGAGATGAGGGCAAGAACAGCAGGGCCTTTTCCACCCTTTGGTTATGGGAATCATGGGAGACCAGATGGTTCAGGTAAAAGACGATGGCTTCTCAACTCGTCCAGGCCGCCAGCTGCAGCCCTCAGGTTCACACAGAGGGCTCCACACGAAGAGCACCACGGGGCTGGCTCCTGCCTGAGTTCCCGCCCCTTTTCTGGCAGCTCCTGCTGCCTCCTCCGCTGCGATACGCCCTCCACCTCCCCGCGCCCAGCACTCACAGCCCCCCGCCCAACCCTTGGGGGAGGGTGGAGGTGGGGCGGGACTTGAATTGTTTTTCCAAGAAAAGAAACCTTCCGTCTTAAGGTTTAATCGGATGTTTGCGCTCAGAGAGTTTGAGGTGCCAAGCCCCGGGGCCCGGGCGTTTTGGGGGTGGGGGGACCTTGGCCGGCCGCAGGAAGGATGGTCTCGGGGGAGGCGGGAACGCTGCTGCCCGTAGGCCGAGCGGATCTGCCAAGGTCTGCGCCGAGGTGGCGCTCTCCGAGGTGCTGAAGCCTCCCCAGCGCTCATCCCTCGAGTGCCTCAGCCGGCCCTCCTGCTGGGGCAGGCAAGGCCCCGAGCCCCAGGGCTCTGGCCCGCGCGGTTCCCGGACACCTCAAGGAGACCAGCAGCTCTCTGCCTCGGGGGTCTCGCTCCGGGTTCCACCCCAGGTGACCTTGGGCACTCGGATTTCCCTCAAAGGCATCGGAGAGCTTGCCCTCCAGCCTGGATGGGCGGCGCGTCCTGTCCCCGGGGCTGGAGAAAGGGTGCGCACCGGCTCCCCGGCTTGGAGCGCGGGAGCAGGAAGCCTGGCCGCGGGAATGAGGGTCGGACGGGGTTGCGTGCGATGAGCCGGTTCCTCTCTCTCTAGGGACCGTCGCCTAGCTTCTTTCTCCAGCGCCTTCCCAGGTCCCGACGGCGCCCCCTCTTCCCTGGCTGCCCGGCGGCCAATACTCCGCCTCGAGGCTCGAAAGTGCCGGCCCTCGGCTCTCTGCCCCGACGGAACCCGGACGGCCGAGAGCCCACCCCACCCACCCACCCATAACCTCCTGTTAGGGTCAAACACTCGCGCCCCCGTGGTCGAGCTGCGAGCCGGGCAGTGTGAGAGAGATCTGGGCGGGGCACGAGACCCCCTCCCAGTCCCCGGTGCTTGGTCAGAGCGGGGGCGGGAGCGCAGCCAGACGGGGCTGCCAGCTCCCTTCCCAGCCCGCGAGGGGGCGCCGCGTCCCCATGACAACGCGGACACCCCACCCCACCTCCAGGCTCCCGGGAGGGCAGCGCCCCCCGCCAAGCCGCGCTGGGGACCGCGGGCGGTGCCTCCCCACAGTGCCCGAGTGGAGAGCCGCCGGCCGGCTCCAGGGAGGGGCGCGCGTAGCAGGGGTCCCCGACGCCCGGGGTGGTGCCCCCCGCGCGTCCCCGTTGGGTGGCCGGCCCGGGGCGGGCGGCGCGGCCCCGCCAGGATTGGCTGCTTCCCCGTGACATCACGCGGCTCGGGGAAAAGTGCGAGCGTGAGCGCGAGTCTCAGCCACAGCGCCGGGAGCTGCGGGCGGAGCAGGGGCCGCCCCTCTGCGCCCCGTCCCCGCCCCCGGCCCGCGGACCGCCGGCCCGCGGGGCCACCCCCCAGTCCCGCCGTCTGTCAGGTGCGAGGGGAACGGGGCGGAGGTGTCTGGTAAGTGACTCCGCGGCTGCGCGGGGGCGGGGGACTCGGTGGACAGAGAGGGACGCGTGGCTCCCGGACCCTCGGAGGCTCCCCGAGGCGGGCCCGACTAGGACAGGGCCCCAGGCTTCTTCGCGGGCGAGCCCGGTGCTGGGAGGTGCAGAAGGCCTGGGGGGGTGAGGGGCCCGCTGGAAGAAAGGCCCAGAGTGTGGCTCGGAAGCTTCCCCAGGTGCGCCTCCGGGAAGGAATGGACAGGCAGGAGGTCGGGCGGCGGCGGCGGTGGTGACGGTGTGTGTGCCCGCCCGCAGCTCCTCGGGAGCCCGGGGCAGCCGTCGGGGGCGGGACCCCGCACTTCACCCTGCACTGGCAGCTCTTCGGGGCGCCAGGCGCTGGAGCCCCAAAGAGGCTTTTTCCCGCCCGTCTCCTCGCCACCCCGGCGCCGCCAGCCCACTCCAGTCCACCGAGTCCTCCGTCAGCGACCTTGAACTCTGACGGGAAACACCCCTGCCCTCTCCTGGCGCCCCTCCCCCCTCCAAGACTCCCCTCCTTTGTCGCCCAGGCTCAGACTGGGAGGTCCAGCGCCAAGCCCCGAGCCCCATGGCGGAAGTGTCACGCGCAATGTCGGTGCCAAATCCCCTGCGCCCCTTCTCCGTCCCCACAATTCCTAATCTCCTCTCCTGCCCCAGGGACACAGCGGAGACCACAGCCTTCCCGCAGCCCTAGCGTAGGAATTGAGGACTCACCCCCCAACCCCCTTTCACCACCACCACCACCACCGCCCCCCGCCCTGGTGTACAGGGAACGCGAGCCCATCGCGCCTGGGAAAGGGGGCCTCCAGGACCCAGGAAAGCAAGGTGCCCACGCCCAGAGGCTGCAGGAACTGCGCTCCAGGGAGTTGGGGGAGGGTGGGGCACGGGGGAGCCAGGGCCCCTTCGACCACCAGGGAGTCGCGGAGACGTGGTCTCCAGTTGGGCCCAGTAATAATTCCCAACGAGGCCCGCCCCAGTCCAGGGCTCGAGAGGCCGGGTGCCCACTCCAGCCGCTGAAGCCGGGCGGTGCCTCTTCGGCGGGGTTCGGGGTGAGGAATGTGAGATGGAGAAGAGTCTTACACACACGCCTTACACAAGCCTCGGGCCGGGCCTCCCAGTTACGGACGTGCTTCTCGCGCCCTTCTGCCCCGCAGACTGGGCGCCCTTCGGCGACATCAGAGCCTAGTGTCCCTCA